GAGTAGGGACTCGCACGAGTTTGTCAATAAAATGATGTTGGTAGCAGTTCGGATACGGGAACAGTCTGGAAGGATGAAGTGGTTCACGGCCTGCGGGATGTGCAGTGGTGGGCTCGATGGGCGTACACATGTCCGAAAGGATGCCTTTCTCGGGTTGTTCCTCTGGCATGCCCTCTCCTACGAAGCGGATGTGGCATCGATGCCATGGTCGCGATGGCAAGGGGAAGTCTCTGACCTGCGAGTTTACAGTGAATATCGATTGGTACATATGTCAAGAAATGCATACGACGTGGACGTATCCTAGATATTTTCTAGGTGTCATGGCCTGCGCAGCAGTAAGCACCGCATGGATGTCAAGTTCTTCTGCCATTCCGACTGGATCCAGCCACAAAGCAATGTAGATGCCGATGGGGGGCGAGAATGCGAGGTTGGGGAGCAATGCGAGGGAGGATGGTGAGAATTCGTGGGAGGTAGCCATTATGTGTCGTAAACAGGACTGGGATGGGATTGTTCAAGTTCAAAATTCATGATGGTCCCAGAAAGGCCGCGCCGTATGTCTAGCGATCGCGTATTGTCTTGTTGAACAATTGGCAAGCACATGGCCGAGTTGAGTACAAGACATTCGCACGTCGTGGGAATGCTGAGTGCTCAAGCGCTCACCATGTGTACTGCCAACAATGAGATTGGGATCTACACGGACACACATGGGCACGTGCAATCGCGAAGGCGCTAATCACCGACGCGTTGACCAGTGACCGCACAAGCCCTTTCGCTGGCGCCTGCTGTTGGGTATCCGACCATATGCGTGATCCCCGCGTCCTTATTACTCGGACAATGAATATGCACAACAGTTTTCTGTGCCGCTCGAGCTCGTATCATGACGGTCCTACACGATCGACGCAAGTCGTCTTGTGTGAACTGTGGTACGTGTAGAGACAACGTATTCGGTATATGTTATAATTCGCTTTCCTTGTAAGTCGCGTTGTAATAAAACGGTCTTCAGTTGAATGAAAAATTTATATGCCATATGAGACTTTGTGTTGCAACACTGTACATATTTTGTTAGCTCTGGAAACACGGCTATCCGACGATTCTGCTCGCCGTGTGATTGATACGTATAAAACCTTCCAGTCAGATAGATAAGATCCGAATATTTTCCATAGACCTCTCTAGATTGCTCTTGGACGCGCTAAACAGGCTCCAGGACCAGCCCCTGTGTTACTAGCACCCGAGAGAGAATGCATGAGCGCAACCGATGGCAAGGATCCCGTAGGTAGTGCGCCCTTTGCTTCGCAAGCTTCTTCTTGAGCACCAGCTTGCGGATTCGGATGCTTATAATCGTATCGGCTCCGATATCTATGAGCGTGACTCAGGCCCTGTTGCGTGGTCTCCAAATTCCAACGTATGACAACGCATGGGCTACCGATATTTGGACGGGGAACGACTCGTCTCGCGAGACCATGGGCCCTATGCGTCTATTCAACAGAGGGCAAGCACTTTCAAGTATACTTAGACTGCCCACCCCCTGCAGCGACCGCGGGAAACGAGCAAAAGCTGGGAATGCAGGAATACAAGATAAGTGTTTGTGTACCTCAATAAGCTAGTGAAGGGCGATGAAATACGTATTGCACTGGATTTGGAAACGGCAGTTACAGGGTACGAGATCAACTGAAAAGGTTATCCAGTACTTCGACCAATGTCTTTACTGTCTGTAGGTAGTTGTCGACCTGCTTTATTGTAGCGGCCTCTTCAGGGAGTGGTAGCAGATCCTCAATGTCTGCACTTTCACGCAGGCTAAGAGGAATATGCTTGATCAACAGAGCGGCTCATAAACACAGTACATGCTTACCCTCGACTGGCGCAATAGTCCGCCGCATTCTCTTGGAAGCTGGCCGCATCGCGTATGTACTCCGCACAATGCATGCCTGTGGCCCGCACCTCCTCTTTCTCCTTGTCCGTCAGATCATAATGGAATAAATAAGTCTTGCGAATACGCTCTGCATCCTGCTCCGTTTGTCCAAACAGCGGGAACTGGCCTGGGAAATACAAGTTCATACGACTTGTCCATATCGTATTTGACTCGGAGTAGAGATAGGAGCGGCATACATCCTACCAACAATCAGTCAACGCTGTGGCGATGAACACTTGAACATACCAGCCGGGACAAGTCATTGACGATCTGCCTGAACATCTGCTGGGCATCATCACTATCTATTGCAAGGTTTTCCAGGAGGAGACGGTCATCCTTAGTTAACGTCACGATGTCTGGCTGGGGATGGCGAACATAGTGTTCATTCCACTTGAGAACCGCTATGGCTTTCGAATGTGCGAATTTGCGGATCATGTTGACGTGCGTGAGGAAGGTGAGGATATCAGGGATCTGTTCGTGGATCAAAGTGGGCTTCATCATATTTTGAGTACCATATATGAGTATTGACAACGGAGGGCATTCGTTTGGAGGCACGTTGGGCGTGACATTCCTGACATGGTCTTCACGATGAACACAATCATCGATTGCGAAAAGCCGTGCGAGATGAACAAGTACCATATATCTCACGATGCGCTTGTGCGTCGTTCCAATGAAGGTCACCGGAGAGGCGTTGTCTCAGCCACAAGTCACTGGTCATACTGAGAATCACGGTACGCGATCAAGCTTCGCGTTGGGTTCTTAAGCGGAGTTTGAACGCGTCTGTGGCTGTGGCGCAAGCTGTTTGGGACTCCGAGAAATTCATCGTGGTAGCATCCATCAAAGCTCTTTCTGAACATCATCTATAATACTTCATTTTGGTGACCTTATGCTGTGTCTTGTGTTGTGCTTTACTCGCGCGAAGGCGTCGTCACGCTGACTGTCACAATGGCAATGCGGGCCCAAGAGCTGACGTCAGCTCGTGTCCTACGGGCGTCTTCCAAGCAAAGAGCGAACACGTTGATGGTTGCTCTGAGCACCAGAAATGACATCTGTAGGGAATGTACGTGCCAATCTCCTTACTTCAGTATGCACGTCGCATTTGACTCGCATAGACGCTTCAGTAGCACCGCATTAACGAGCCCCAATTCGCATAAACAGCCGCATCTCATTGCAAAAAGTAGGTTACAGAACCTGCCTTATCATCTCTTCGACAGTCTCGCGGATCGCCGGAGCTTCTTCAGCGAGAGGTCTGCGAACACCCTCGGTCTCAATAACGTGACGGTAGCCATTTCGGTTACACAAACCACGTTGCAGTCGTGAACCTAGGTCCGACATGCGTACCCTCGATAAATCTGCATCGAACTGATCTCCCAAAAGTACGGTGATAGGACTGAGATCGCCTGATATGAATTTCTCCCCGATCTTCTTCCGTGTGTCGAGGCTGAGTTGCACGATTGTGTGTATTTTGGCGCCGAAAGTACGACTGAAATGATCTCGAGGCTATTGGGTGGAACTGTTCTCTCTCTCTCAGCATAATATCGACGATAGAGCCGATTGCACAGGTTCTTATACAGGCTGCAACCTTCGCGCCATCTGATACAGGCAGGTACGTCATGGCGAGCCCTTGCCATTGACCCGACACGGACTAGTCCTCTGATCGCCTTTCAGATTGTCACCGGCCCAGACGCGTTCAGCTTGAATCTCCGCTCAGAAGGCGCTGCGGAAGCGACGCGTCCTTGCGCATCAGACCGACAGCGCCAATGACCCGTGGTTGAGACAGCATCACTCCAATGTTTTTGACTGGAACGATATACGACTTCGTCGTGAAAAATATGGTATCTTGTTGCCCAAAAAACATACAGGCAGATCATGAACGACTTGTGCCGCCTGGTATGTCAACGCATCCATTGTTACGGTATTGGCTGACTGTCAATAAGATGTGTGCCTTTCATATCTCTACTCCGTTTCAAACACGGTGTGGACGAGGAGAAAGGATAGGCGTATGTCACAGGCATACGCTGTGCCGAATATATACGTGACGCAGCCAACTTCCAAGAGGATCCGGCGGCGTTCTGTGCCGGTCGAAGGTAAGCTTGTTGTGCGCATATGGCTTATGAGGCAGTCTGCTAATCAATCAAATACACTCATTGTAGCCTCTGGGAAGGTGTCAGCATCGAAGAGGTTCTGCAATTGCCAGATGAATCCACCATCTCCTAGCAGGTCGACACATATCTGCCGTCCGTGCAGAAGCTGGTCCAAGCACTGGAACGCCTGTTCGGTCAAAGCTTTTCTCTTTCGATGATGTGTTGTGCTGTAGCTGCATTATGGACATCTTTCTAATCGACTGAGACGGGGTTTACTGTCAGTGATAATTCATGATGGTCTAGACACTGAATGCGTGAGAAAGAGGTAGCAGGCTATTATCGCTCACCAATTCACCGTTATTTTTACAGAATAGTCTCAAAGACAGTACAATTTCCACCATCACAGCTGCCGTTCTGAAGGTAAGCAATACCTGAGTGTGGGCCCGGTCCATCCGAGATGTATAGGACTCCACATTGGCCGTGGTACTCCCGTCTTGGAACAGTATTTAGGTGCCTTACTCGCAAGCATTGATAGATTATATTGTATGAGATTGAGAAATGTACGTATAGTTGAGAACTTCAAGAGGCGGATGAGAAAAACAATAGTAAAACATTCGAAGGATGACGTCTTGTCCGCGATGCGACGCGCCATATCTTCATTTCCTCAGCTCGTGCATGTCGCCTCGTATCATACTTCCTACCGTCACCAGATATTGCGGAGACCATGTAGTGGCAGATGTAGTCGCGCGAACATCCATTCATGGGACCACCTTTGATCTATCTTAATACACCCGACTAGACAACATCAAGCAGCTCAAGTACTTAAGACCCAGTCAATCAACTTCGGCTTTGACTGGTGACTCGTCACATCGGCGATATGGAGCTCAGTGTACTCGAGGCTGTTCACAGTAAATTATATATAACAAGAGGTAGGATAGTATGGGGTACATAAGGGGTGCACAGTCAGATACTGAGATATTTACGACGTTACTGTGACTGTCTCGTGTGCTATAGGCGATTTGAGGAGTCATTAGAGTGTTCCGTACGACGGAGCCTGCAACATATGAGAGTATGGCCAAATTATGCATGCGCGCGAGATATAGATGCCCTCATTTCATGTGCCGTCTGAGAAGAACAGTGAGCTTGCGGCTCATTCACAGACGCTCAGTGCTTACAGGGCCGCGTTGCTTGTTTATATTCCCATTAGAGGCAGAGTGAACGCTGTCATATGGCGCTCGTTTCTGCTATAGGACAAGTTGAGTCATTGATGCCGGTGCCGCTGATACTGGACCCACCTTGTGTATCTGGCCCACGCGGTGACGGGATGATTGGCAGCCACGCGATACAGCATGAAGAGGTCGAGCGTCTGCCGAGATTGCAGGGCTCTAAGGGAAATGGTGTTAGGCACATTTCATCTCTACAGGCGTGCGCGCAATGACGCACCATGAGATCGAGGAATTCCGGGGGCTCTTCAGATTCCGTCCGAGCCATGATAGACGTGTTCTCCATAGTGAAACATGCTCTTCTTTGATTGTTTCCGACGAGATAAGTCTGCATATCGAATGCAGGATCAAGTACCATGGAAGCCATGGCGTCCATAGACGGCATGTTGATCTGATTACGCAGTATGGCATGAATATCAATGATAAAATTCAACACGGGGCAAAAGAAAGGGATAATGGACACTGACTCGATGTTTCGCTGAGTTCTCCTTGCGATGGTCCTTCGATGAGGCTTTATCATCATTGACCGAGCGGAAACATTCATGAGCACGTACTCTGTATTTCCGATACTCCTCGGCTCGAAAGTTGGGCTGCGCGACACACCATTTTTGCCAAGTGTCCCATCGCACGGCACATATATCCTCGAGATTTTCTAGCTCGGCGTCGGTGAGGCGGTGGTTAGACCTGGACTTCTTACCCTCCCAAGCCTCGGATGGAAGCTTCTCAGGTGTATACATGATAGCTACGAGCCATTGCGGTGTGCCCGGTGTTCCATCCCATTCTGGAGTTGTATGGATGATGCTAGAGCCTTCGGTTCCGAGGGTAGGATAAACCGGAATGCAGAAGTGTTTCCAGACAAGAGGGAATGATGATAAAGGCTTCCCGTCAAGAGTAGCCATCAAGCAGATCTGAGCGTCTTGCTTCGCCTTATATTCGTCATTGTTGATAAAAACGCATGGGCGCCATTTTCCTCTACGCGACAGACTCCGTGCCGAGCCGATGGAGGTGAGAGATTTGTAGTCTGCGGCAGAAGCCTGCTTCGTGCGACCGAGGGCAATCTCGAGGGGTGTAAGGATAGATTGCTTTATAGCAAAGATCTCACCGCTCTGAGGATTCGTGTCAATCACGTGGCGAGAAGACTCGTCGAACGGCCGTGTCTCCAGAGCTATCAGAGTATGCATAGTGTTGCAGCACAGGATCTCGCAGGGTAGGTAGGTTGTCCATTCGGTACTTCTTGAGAGTGTTTAAATGCAGCGCGACGGACAAGGAAGGGTTAGTCTGGGCGCACTCGGAAGACATGACGACTGTCTGCAATCGGCACAAGCTGTCTTGTCTTCATGAGGAGCGTAGACCATGATGCGAGCAGAAGAACGTTGCGCATGCTCGTTGTCCGGATCATAAGGATGCAGATATCATGCATGTGAACAAATAACAACACTGTAGCAGTCGCCAGCGGGAGGACCTTGAGCGCACATTGGTGATTATCGATCAGCGGCCCTAGCTGTTGCACGTGTGCATGTGTGTCCATGTAGATCCCAATCTCACGTTATTGTCGGCAACGCTTGATCAACACATGGTTAGCATTCCCACGGCCCGTGAATGCCTTGTGCTCAACTCGGCTATGTGCCCGCCAATGGTTCAACAAGACATCGCGATCGCTGCACACCCAGTGCGTCTTTTTCTAGGACCTATCCATCCCACTCCCGTTTACGACACAGAATGGCCACCCCCCTCGAATTCTCGCCATCCTCCCTCGCATTGCTCCCCAACCTCGCATTCTCGCCCCCCATCGGCATCTACATTGCTTTGTGGCTGGATCCAGTCGGAATGGCAGAAGAACTTGACATCCCTTCGGTGCTTACTGCTGCGCAGGCCATGACACCTAGAAAATATCTAGGATACGTCCACGTCGTATGCATTTCTTGACATATGTACCAATCGATGTTCACTGTAAACTCTCAGGTCAGAGACTTCCCCTTGCCATCGCGACCATGGCATCGATGCCACATCCGCTTCGTAGGAGAGGGCATGCCAGAGGAACAACCCGAGAAAGGCATCCTTTCGGACATGTGTACGCCCATCGAGCCCACCACTGCACATCCCGCAGGCCGTGAACCACTTCATCCATCCAGACCGTTCCCATATCCAAACTGTTACCAACATCATTTTATTGACGATCTCGTGCGTGTACCCACTCAGATCATGCAATATGATGATTGCGTGAGGCTGCGCCCCCGAGAGATGAGGAGACACATGAATTACGAGAATGGTGACTGGGTAATACGCAGAGCGCTTGTCAAGAATATGGAAGGTAAGTTGCTGCTGCGTACTTCACTTTAACTCATTGTAATGTGTGTGTAACAGCAGACCGTGAGATAGCAAATCTAAACCACGATGCGGAAAATTCTGGTGTTCCACCTGCGATGGAAGTCGATGGTGAAGACCATGCTACCGACTCTGATGGCCACGAGGAATCAGATGACAAACAGGGTCGAAGCATTACGCCAGTGTCACGCTCAGAAATCGGATCCGTCAGTGACGACATGGAAATGTCAGATTCCGATGGTAGTAGCTTTGAAGTGAGGAGCCGTGATTCACTTCAGGAAGACTCAGACGACAGCGGAGATCCCCCGGATTTCATGCAAGTTCTGGCTCTCGTAATGACCGCGGGCGACAAGCTCGACATGGACATTGATATCTTGCCCCTTGTCCGTATCTCACTGGATCTTACCGAGGGCGGCAAATTTGAAGACCCTCGCGGCTTCCTGGAAGAAGTTGCTACTATGACTCAGTGAGAAACAGTTTGGTTTGCGTTCAAGATCACAACTGAGTATATTGTCTTCAGGCTAATTCAACAGGCGCGCACCAATATCATACGTGAATACAAGGCGCGCAACCCTCCTATGGCAACGCCGCAGATGCAGAGAGGAACCAACCTCGAGCAGTGTTTCGAGGACTCGATGGAAACCGTCAATGTTACACCTCCAGAGTCGATCCACGTTGAGAACCCTGTACAGGCCGCGCTCCTCACAGATTCGTCTTCTGTCGTAGACCCAGCTGCTCAAGATGGAGCCCCCGAGGGCCTCGTGAGGGGGAGAACTGCTGCCACGCACGCTGGCGACATTGATATCTCTCAGAATGCAGCGCATATAGCCACCGAATCTGCAGATCATATGCACGAACCCGCTACGGCAATGGCACGTGGGCTAATGTCAATCCGTCGTCTGGTGCAAACGGGAAGGGACATCGTCAAGCTTCCACACATCTCGGCCAAAGGTGAGCGCTCCTGCATATATGCCTGTCGCGCATTGCTGATACTCGGACCTAGATTTGAAACCTGTTGCCATTGTGCGGGCATCACGGCAGCGGTGTTCAGCGCTTGTCGGGCGTATACGCCGTGTTCTTCGTCTGCGCAAAGGCCGTGATGTCCCACACTGAACGTACTGATCGTTCCATTGTTCTATGCGATGCCATATGTATAGTTATTTGTAGGATATACCAAGGTTTTGTATGCGTTGGAGCAGTCTCATAGACACCTAAGCTAGTCCTCGTAGGGCCTCAGGCTCTACGTAAAGATCAAGATTTGACCCACGTTCTCGCCAGACACCCCGTTGCTGACGTGTATGTAGATTTTAGTTTGTCGCCCTATTTGATTGCGACGCCACCAAAATTGGAGGCGTCGCCTTATGTTTGCCAATTTGGCAGCCCGATGTTGTAGCTCGAAATCACATCTCCATCCTTGAGGTGTCGATCTCACGAAAAACGATCGTCGCTTGATCGACGTACACGAGTGTTTGCTCCCTTAGATCGTTTGCTCCCTTAGATCCAGTCAACACAGCATGGGAATTTGAGATACCCTCTGGCTTGATTGATGCACAGGCGTCACGGTCATCATACCATCCGCCGAATACATTCTTGATGGATGCTTCTGCAAGAATGTATGAAGTGCTGATCAGCGGTGCTCATTTAGAACGCTACCGAGGTACTTGTGCCAAGAACAACAAATACCAGAACACAGATATTCGCACCTTGCAGAGGAGTTGAACAACTCAATAGTGAATAGAATCTTGATGCTTAAGATGCATGTTGTTTGGTTTTAAAGACCGAAGGGTAGTCGCTCATGAAAAGTAATGTTGCCACTTGAGACCTCCGCCTCGCTAATCTGTACGTACTCACCACTCACGGAAACATACGTGATGACATCTGTCAAAGTATCAGTGAGGAGGGGGTGGTGTATTACACACGTATACAAGGTCAACAAGTTACACAGCTATTTCATGCGAAGAACCCACGCAGATCCCAGAAGAAAGGCGCCTCGCCCTTATCCACGATCTGCTCAGCAGTCAAGCCAGCAGCACGCAAGAACAGCGTGCCGTCCAGCAGCTCCAGACCGTCTATGGCCGCGCATGCATCAGCCATGCCCGCAAAGTGGCCGGCCGGCCGATGTCCGTAGCGTGACGCGAAGTGCGCGAGCGCCCGCTGGAGTTTGCAGAAATGCTCGTCGGTGTGCATGATGGCGCCTTGGATCAGGGGCAGCCAAGCATTCGCCGCGGGGGTCGCGAGGGGGAGCGCCGTCTTGTCTGTCTTTGCGAGCTGCGCGGCATACGGGTTGGGCGTGGCAGACGTCGAGGCGTAGAAGTCGCAAATTGGGAGTGTGGGGCGGCCGCGGGCGACCCACCAGACGAGGGACGTCCGGAGGTAAGCGCGAAGCAGGACCGCGGTGGAAGTCGGGCTGAGGTGCGCGACGAACGAGGGGAGGAAGAGACTCGACGTGACCGAGTGCATTCTGTGGAATCGACACAGTCAGCGGTATCGAGAGTCCCAGAGAGAGGTACCGACAAGAAGAAATCAGCGTTGAACTTTCCATTCGTCCCGTTCTTGCGTCCGCCCCATCCACCCGCGGCGTAAACCACTGTGTTCAGCCAGCAGAGCTCCTCGATCTTGAGTTGCACTTGCTCGTTATCGCTGCCATCCACGAGCCACTTGTCTGTATATTCCAATATCTCCTTGCTGCGGAGTGCGTCAACCTGGGCCTCGTAAGGGGGTGGGAAGATCAAATCGTCGTAAGGTTTGAAGCCCAGTGCCGCCTGGGAGAAGCGGTCGTCCTTCAACACGCGCGCGAGGATTTCGAAAACATGCACGCCGGATTGTTGTGTTTCTTCTCCTGAAGCGGTATCCAAGTGAAGAGAAGAGAGCCGATCGGTAGCCCCGATTACGCTGGAGAAGTCTGACTCGACTAGCAAGCCGGGCCCCTCGATTGGGTGTACGGCGGCTTGCGCCAGGCCTAAAGTGGGTTGAGGACGTCAGAGTCGCGACACATAAACAATTGTGCTTGCCCTCAGCGATGAGCCCAGGGATGCCGAATTCAAGGCCGTTCCCTGCATGTATCATGGGATGAAACAGGACTGCCAGCATCCGACTCAGCATCCGGCGGGGAGTCTTGGCGGAATCATCAAAGTTAGCGGAGGGAGCGAATATGTACTCCTCCATAACAGCTGAACCTCCCTTCTGCAATACCGCCTCGCGAAAGAAAGAAAGGTAAGCATTGTAATAGCTGAAAATGTTCTCAGAGCCGTTGCCGCTGAGGATATCAGTCTACCTACGTCGGTTCACCCAGGTGTTCATAGACGTTCTGCGAAGTGATCTGCCCGGGAGATGTGATTGCAGGTAGCGTGCGCGTCAATTGGACATCAAATATCGCGTCAAAGACGGGTGCAGGACCGCCGAGAGCGAAAATAGCGAGTAGATGGTGGGACGCATGGCTATCAGAACTGCGTCAGGTGTGCATCATAATTACACTGGCAGTCATACTTATGAAACTGTCGCTCATTCACGAAGGCATGTCGTTGAATATGATTATTCTTGAGCGCTTCGGTGACAGCGACCTTGCTCTCATGTGTGACTCCAGGAAAATGTTGCGGAAGATGAGGCGCTGGCGGAGAGGAAGGCAGAGGGAAAAGAATGCCAAGCTCGTTCGCAGATAACATGCTCAGGCTGCGCTGTAGGGAAAGGCAGATACTATGAGACACGGAAATGTACGGCTGTTCTTCTCCACTTTATACCCAGACAGCCGCCCTCGAATGCACATGAATATTCACTGTGTCTCTTGATACGTCAGAAGGCGGGCTGGAACCTTGGTCATTACTGTTAGCCATTGATCAGCCGCACATACGGAATGCGTGTCTCAGGGTCTGGCCGATTGTGACGCGTACCCTGTGGGTTCTCTGTTGATGTGCGCCAATCACTTTAGTGGTAATGATACACTCAACGTTCACCAGTCAGACACGAGATTGGATGCTCACATGTCTGTGCATTACAGTCGTTCCCATAACTGTCATCTGTTATTCATCAAGTTATAAAGCAAGCTGCTAGGGCGGAAAGCGCTACATGCCGGCGGGATACGTACGCACCCTTGATATGCAATTCATGAAAGCCGAAATTCGCATCAGTATCTTACCAAGCATGCCTAGGTGAGCTAGAAGCGCGGACTGGAGAGGCGAGGTAAATTGGTAGGACAAATGCCATCTTGAGCACCGTCATGAGCCCTTGCTATCATCGTCCTAGTAGACGATCAGGACCGTCCTTGCTCAGAAGTGAGTGTCAACATTTCCCGTACAGTGCGGGCACGAGCCGGATGAGTCCACCGCGCAGCCGCCTCTACGGATGCTCAGTGCTACAGTAGAAGGGACCTGTCTCGTCTCTGAGACATAAAAATCGAGGTGCATTCGCAAGTGGTTGTCGTGGAGACGCTTAGAATACATCAATGAATTTCCTGTCCTTTTGGTTTGTACGGCAAGATGGCCGAGCGGTCTAAGGCGCTGGAATCAGGACACTAGTTCCATCCAGTCCGAAAGGGCGTGGGTTCAAATCCCACTCTTGTCATTATGTCTTGTTTGAAGCACGATTTTTGTCTTCCTACTACACGCCGCTTGACCGGATGCACATTTTGCGCAAAGCCGCTTTGTTGTGGCATTCGTCCAAACGTTCGCTATGGGTGTGCACGGCCTGACCAGTTTTCTGCGCGAGAATAAGACTGCGCTGGCGCATGTGTTGGAATTCCCGCCGCCACGCCTTAGTCCCTGGGGAGGCAAAACGAGCACAGCCCTCGTCGTAGATGGTTGGTCGTGAGTTCGTCGCTTTTGCATCCCATTAAGATATGGCTGATACAGCTTCTCACCGATCCGCTCTTGGTGGGTCTCTATCCCTATTCGCATTGTATCACGCTGCCTCTCGTACAGATTCATCTACGAACTGTTGCATTGTGCGGACCTTCCGTGGGTCTACGGGGGAGAATACGATGCGTTCGCGAGGCTCATCGAACGGGTAGCAACGGGATGGATAGCGGTTGGACTGCATCTTCATTTTGTTTTTGATGGTGAGCTGTCGACTGTCTAAGCTGCGTCGTCGCAGAGCTGCTGGACGAGCTAATCATGGTCAGGCCCATATCCCGCTCTCAAATTTCCTACGCTCGTATCGCGTGTCACCCAAACTAGCATCCACGGAGGGCTGCTGTTCTTCCGTACCTCCCCGTCCGCCAGAGCCACTCCGCGCTTCCTGCACGAAACTCAGATTCTTCCGCCTCTTACATACACAGTCTGTGTCCAGACGCTTCTCCGCCTTGCGTCTGCTCCAGACGTGCCTCTGGAAGTCCATTTTGCCGACGAGGAAGGGGACCCATACGCCGTCGCCCTTGCTGGACGCCTCCACGCGTACGTTGCAGGCAAGGACTCGGACTTTGTCGTGCTCAATGTCGACGGATACAAGGGGTACATGCCCCTGGACGAAATGGTCTGGAACACTCTCACATCATCTTCTTCCGCCTCCGAGACAAGCAGCCTGTATAGTTCCCTGAACGGCGACGGCGACGAGGAGGAAGACGAGTATGGGTTCAAGAAGGTACGCAAGGCCAAATCACGCAAGCGGGCTGCCGCCAATCACCGCGTCGGACGCGGCCTGATACCCCCCGATACCACGATAGAGCCTGACGGCGAGCTTACACTCTCGTGCACTGTATACACTCCCGACGACCTCGCGTCGCATCTTCAGCTTCCTGTCTCTGTCTTGTCTCTGGTCGGCGCACTAGTCGGGAATGATTACACTGGGCAGCCAGATGAGTCTGCCCCTTCATCACGGAGGAAAAGCAATCTGCACCGTCTGTTCTTCGAGCGGCAGCTGACACTTGTACAGCGCATTGTGCGAGTCGCAACCACCTTGCGTAGCATCCTTTCCTCCGCCTTCTCTTCTGGCGGTGCTCCCGCCCCCAAGAGGAAGCAGAAGGAGATTGGCAGCGTCATGGAGCTCATCGATGCCGCCGTAACAGCGTTGCTCATCCGCCCGTTGGACACCCTTGCTACTGGAGAGCTGGAGGACATCGTCGATCGCATAGCGGAGGCCACGCTGCAGTATGCCATACCTCGGCAGGACGAGTTGGAGGTTTCCACCGCTCATAACGGACGATTGCAGTGGGCCTCCGACGTATGCGCGCTCCATGATCATGAGTCGTGTCCACTTTTCGCCCTACTGTCGCGTCTGGACATCTGCGCATACCATGATTCCGCGGAGACACTAGTTCGTGTGGCTGCATCATATGTCGCAGCGTATCGGGCCGGTAATCTCAATCCGCACGTACTAAACTCCATAAGCACGGGAACCGCCTGGCCCAAGGTCTTCCTTGAGGACCCGGACAAGGAGACCGTGGCGCGCAGCATCGGCCGACCTATCAGGGAGGCTGGCTACGCCATACTTGGCGCTGGGTCTGTTCCCGCGCAGTCCACGGACAATGAGGACCCTGAGGACGAATACGACTCCGGCGATGAACTGATTGATGTCGTTGAGGAGAGCGACGACGACGACGACGACCCCCTTGCACCGCTGAGAGGTGCCTTGGAGCAGCTTGGCGACGGCCAGAAACAGGATAACGGCCAAGCGCGAACGGGACAAACGGCGCCGCCATCAGCCAAAGAAACGCTTCCACGGATAGTGACCGAATGTGTCAGACGGGGTACACACCTTTCGGCCGAAGACGTATCCGTCCCCGCGCTGCACGACATCATGAAGACGCTGTCCCTTCCGCAGCCGCAGCATGACGGACAACATGCACAGGTCCCTGTGCAGCTGTGGCCCCTCGATGCACGTCGCGTCTTTCTCCTTCGGATTCTCCAATCCGACGTCCCAAGCATCAAAGCGGTGAGCGACGACAAGCTCATCGCAGTGCTCGCGGTACGGTGGGTAGTCCGTTGTATGCATGCCCGGGCCGCAGAGAGCGACGGCAACAAGGAACGAGAGAAGGAGCGGTGGACACAAGTCGAAGCCAGGACCTTCCTGAACGCGTTCGCGTGGTCCCCGTCTGGAGAAGCGGCGGATACCGCCCCCGAGGAACTCCCCGTAGAACCGGTGCAGATAATCGAGCGGAATGTCCAGCTCGTCGCCCAGCTCACAATGGCGCTGGATACCATTGAACAGCTCGCTCAGATCTTGCTGCTTGGCGACGTCATTCCCACTCCAGCCGCGCTCTTCTCGGGGAGACGGTTCCATGCAAATCTCGTACGACTCGGGAATGATTCGATGGCCGACTCCAGCAACGCTTTGTGGCGCGCGTGTCTCGAAGGGCTTGAGCACGCGTTTGCAGGGAGGGGACCAAAGGCCAAAAAGGACCGCAAGAAGGAGGCAAGGGCACCTATAACGTCTCCCGCTAAGGTGCAGCCAGGACAGGGGCAGCCAAGGCGGGGCGGAATGTACGACATTTTGGCACAATTGGATGGATGAGTGTGATTAACCTTCGATAATTTAACACTAACGTTCATTGTATGTATCCCTGCACAAGCCCATTGTATCATACCTTCCTCCTTTTCCACCATCAAATGTATCGTTGTCTGTACCACGGAAAGGTATTACGCACTGTGTTCTGCGAAATGCTGAGCCTAGTAATCGTCATCTCGCACCAAGCGGATCTTCAGCGGCACTTGAGGCGTCTGGCCGTCACCAGCGGGTGGGCGTACGACGGGCACCTGAAGGCCATTCATCTTCCAATAGATTTCCTTCTCTGCCGGCAGCGAGAAGTGTAATGTAGAGAGAAGGGTGGTTAAGACTTGATCTGTACATGTGGTAATAAGACCAACGGTGGTGGCCGAAGAAAAATGCTCACTCATCTCCATTTCGGCAAACTTGAAGCCGCTGCAAGCGAGATGAGCGGATCTACAGATGAGTGCTATGCTCAACTCACATGCAAGCCCTACCTCCACCGAGGAATGTCATCCTGTGTGAGTACTAGATCAGCACAATGCTTGAATATGGTATACGGCGCTGACATTGACGCGTAGACACCAGGATATTTGATCCCATCCCTGTTTCCCGGTACTTTGTCTTCCTCCTCACTGCGTTCCACGATGACGTAGCCGTCAGGGAGATTATCTCCGTCTCCTAGGCGGATCCTTTCTCCAGTGGAAGTAAGCCATCGCTCAGGCCGCCAATCCGAGGCGTCTTCTCCCCATATTTCTTTGTTGTGGTTCGCCGCCAGAATGGAAATGATTACGGTAGTATTTTCCGGAAGTGGAACAGACGTAACCTCCTGCCCAGAGGCGGAGCGGACAGGGAACTCCAGAGGGAGCACGGTAGATTTGCGCGTTCTATGAGGCCTAGTCAGGAATGTGACACGCATGGAAACATGATACTGACTTACGTTCTACTGAGTATGGAGGTCGGTGGGTACACCCGCAGAGTTTCTCGCACAAGCGCGTCGAGGTATGGTAGACCCATGAGTACGTCGTACGAAAGATTCACATCTTGCCACCGCGCAGAATCTCCCACATGCGCCATCTTCGCCGCGCGCACCTCACGGCACAGTCGCGCCTGCGCGTCGGGCCGGCTTGCAAGAAGGTAGAGCAGGCGCGATGTCGCTATAGCGGTCGTCTCGAAACCTGCGAAAATGATTGTGCTAAGGCGAGTTAATGTGTAGCATGCACGGTAGGGCACTTAGGACTACGTACTTCATTTGGCCGAGTAGTTCGGATTCGGTGAGCATGTCTCTAACGTTTGAAGGCCTGTTTGCCCGGACTGTGAGATCAGAGTTAGCTAATAATGGCCAGCTGTTGACGGGCTGCCGAGGACTCACGCAAAATGCTCATGATGTCGCGACCTCTCGAACGGAACCCGGTTGCTCCCTGCGGTTCATTGAGTTTAAGACTGCCATCAACAAGCGTGCCCTCGATTGCAGATTTTTTATCAGCGTATATCCCCTTACAAGTACGGTGCATGACTTCGACAATGCGGCGAAATTCTTTCAACGGCTTGATGGGTACCAGTCCATGATCCTGTTTCGCCATTGGAGAGAGAAGTTCCTGACGAAGAAGGGAACGAAAGGGCGGATAAGGATTAAGCGAAGCGCAGTTGGCCTACAATGCGTGTGGTGTAACCGTTTGTCAAGGGCTAACGGCACAACGTGCATGTTACTCACGAGAACCTGCGCAGCGCCTCGGCGTATTCACTTGTCTTCTCTGGGTTCAGTGCATCGAACGTGTATCCCAGCGCGGCCTGACAGATGTATTCAAGCGCACCACGAGACGTCCATGGGACTATGTCGATTTCTTGCTCTAAATTCGTGGTCTTCGGTAACTGAACAACCCACGACTCAGAGTGCAAAGCGTACCTCCAGCAGTAATTTTTGAAACAAGAAGGTCGCATAGCTGATCAGCAATAGGTTGGATGGTTGGCAAGAGATCGCGCATGTTGGCAAGGGAGAAGACCGGATTCAACATCTTTCGTTGCTTCCTGTGCTGCTCGCCTGTGTAACGGGAATAGGTATGCCGGAGGCACGGATACAGAAAGACCAGCAACTTACCAAGGGTTGAGATGAGACCTTCACCGAATATGAGTTTGTTCCCCCTAAATGGCATGTGAGCGCCGAATCTCACAGCATATAGGCCACCTAAGATGCTAGTACGCACATTATGAACATGTCTGTCTCTTCATAGACGTCTTGCTCTTTCACTACGATATGGTGGAGCGCGCGAGGGTCTGACACGTACAATTGCTCCTCCTGCCATACATCATTAGCTGCAAACTTACTGCTGCCACAATCAACGTCCTCACCCCAAGTAACGCATGAATACGGACTGCGCCGCCATACTTCTCGGTCAGCTGGAGGTTATACTCCAGTCCGTCTTGGAATATCCGGTGGTAATTTCCTTTACGTTTATGCGGCGAAGTCAGCTACTATCACATCGCACGGTCTACGCGCGTGCCTTTGAGCCAATGGTCCTTCTCGGGGCCTGCAATGTCGATGGCGCGCGCTTTGGTCGCCGTCAGTCGCTTCACCAGTGCCCAGAGAACCAATGCGAGCAGCACTGACGCCCCTGCATGTGCGACAGACATGCTTGCGAGCCGACTATTGGGCCTACGCACGTCAGATGAGGCTGCCAGGAAGGAATTGTGTCACTGTCATTGCAGCCCGCATTACCGATGAAGGTCGGGTGTCTGGGCTTTATGATACTGTTTCAAGCATATTATTGCCCGCGTGGATCACCTGCTGCGACATGAGGGCACTGGACAAGATCCACGAGTATCAGGTGAAAAGCGGCCCTCGGCGAAACGGTAGATTGTGCCGGCGGGATCGCGCCGCGCTAGGGCAAGCCTAGACCTGATAAGATTCTACTGATTAGGGATATGAAAGGACCCATAAGGACCCATAGAGGAGTAGCGGCGGCTTATAGGACGGTGGTGGCTGAGCCCAAAGGCAAGAGCCAATGTTAGCATCTGCGCGTGCCCAGATATGATTGGGCGTCTAACATGCAACATGATCGCCAAGATAATTATTCGCTATGTTCTGCTATGCCTCAGGAGCGCCTTGCTCCGGAACGTCGCGTTATACTGCAGCAGATTGTTGATGTCCCGCACCCAGTCATCCTCCTTCCCTGGGCCCGCACCCTCGTTCTCCTGCATCTCCTCCGGCTCCACAATCGACGAGCGGTTGATGCAGGGAATCGGAAACGGCGAGGCGCGCACGGTGACTGCCTCCCCTGGGCCAAGCACATGTGAAGTCTGCCCGTCCAGCGACAGCCCCGCCGACGCGCGACTGCGCTCACCTATCTGCAACAGGGCAATGAAGTCAGCACCTTTGGCCGACTTAGAAGAGAAGAACGCAGCTGACCTGTAGTGTGATGCTCGACGATGAGGGGAAGACGAGCGGGCGGAAGGACAAGCTCCGCGGGCAGATCGGTGTGAGTACCAGGGCGCTCAGTGACGGGTGAACAATGGGTCCCCCTGCGGAGAGCGAATACGCCGTCGAGCCCGTTGGTGTCGACACGATTAACCCGTCCGACTGAGCACAGCGGACAGGGAGCGGAAATACATGCCATACATTTGTTTGGTGAGCGAATGGGAGCAATTGACAGCAATGCCAGATACGCACCACAGCCTCTGTGAGATGTTGCCCGTCGACGAAGATGTCGATTGTGTTCAAGTGCGGACTTGATCCCCGATGCAGCGCGATTTCGTTCATGACTTGCCAATCTATGTCCGTGCAAGATCGCGCATCAGCACACAGCTGACTGGGCAGCAGATACGCATGTGAATGGACAGACCTTCGCAGTGCGTTTCCATTTGTGTGCCATCTACATCGTGAAACTTGCAGGAGAGGCGCATGCGTTTCAAGATGGTTGCGCGCCCCTCAAATGCGCTGTCGAGCGCCTTCGCATAATCGTCGATATCTGTGTCACAAATGCAGGAGTGCATGTATCAATTGGTCCGCTGTGCTACGTGGAGACGGCAGAAGACAGCTCACGGAAGGGGAGCAGGAACCCGAGTGTGCCCATTGAGAAGCTGAGCACAGGCGGGACAGCGCCAACCTTGAAGAGCGAGGACGCGTGGAGGATCGTGCCGTCACCACCCAGTGTAACGATGAGGTCAATTGGCTCAGCCAAGGGTCCTATAAAGGAGGGCACATTAGTGATCCAGCCGGAGGCTAATGAAGATGCAACAAGGAATATGCTCGTGTGAAGGTAGGGACACCGGAGTTCACAGGGGGGGAAAAAGGCGATAGACTACGTGCAAAATTGATGGCCTATTGCAGGTAGGTCACTGCGCGCATAGAGCAATACACTCTCCTCTCAGCCTGACAGATGTCGCATGGACCCTAAGATAAAACAGCGTCGAGAGGAGTTCAGACAGCGATATTCGATAATGTCAGAGTACTACATGCGGGGATTGAGCAGTATTCGCGATGCGAATTAGCACTTGAAAGATATCTTCATGATCCCCCGTTTACTGCGTAAAGGCGGGGCAGCGCGCACAGCCATTCGGGAGGATGGAATGGACCTTCCGCGGGAGACATGACACCGAGTCCTCCACAGTGAAGCTGGAAGACCGGTGAAGGCGCGCAGGCATATGGAATACGGACCTAAATCCCATGGCCGGCGGAGCATGTCCCATTACGAAGGGATAGTCGGGACAGCACGGGTTCCACGTCAATTGCGATAATGAACAGTCATCCACATACCCTGTCACAGAAGGGAAGGACAGTCTTCCCAGATCGGCCAAAGAAAGCATAATGCGAGAAAACAGCGTACCTGGGTGCCACACCTCAACGCCTTCTGGGATGTCTGGACGATCCTCATGGAACACACGCACCCCAGGGTACTTTTCGTGCACGTATCTGCATAGCAATGATATCGTGTCTGAAAGCGACGCGTGAAGACGACTCACCGCAACAGCGCCTCGATCCCTTCGGCCACAGCGCGTGTCCGATGCTTATTTACGATGAGGATGGACCTTGGCGGCACATTCTGCTTTTGACTTTGACTTGAGAGCCATCGGAACAGGTTGGTGGGTCGATAATGCCGGTACGTAATACACAAAATCAGAGAATGCACGAACAGGCTAGGAAGACGCGGCGTACGTCGTGAGGGTGCGCCTCTGAGTTCTCGGACGCGCCAAACTAGCACATGTTTTCCTGTATGGCCTGGACGGCGAGCCGGTGATGAACTTCTCGCCAGATGTACGCGACGAAGAGGAAGCGACGCAGAGAGGTGAGCGAAGATGTTGCTTGAGGATTGTTGGTATGGAGGCACGGACTCGGAGGGCGGACTGCATGTCGCGGAGTCAGCAAAGGCGCTCGTCTGCGGTGGAGAGCCGGATGTCTGTTCACGTCCTCACACGCATCGGCCGCCTTCAATAATACTCTCTATATCTTTGCTATGAGTCGGAAGCGTTTCTATACTGAGACGAGCAGAATGCTATTTATGTTCCTCAGTGTCTTACGGTGCTGCCACCAGACTGCTAAGCGCTAAACTCCGCATAATGTTCTGGTGATGATAGACCCTCTCGAGTGCATACAACGGCAGAAAAATTGGTATTATGGAGCTCAGGAAAGTGGTCACATTTGCCTTGAAGAACAAGTTTTCAGTCTACTACAGATGATGAAGTCATTTCCGCCCTGCTTCAGGCATCGAAAAGCGATGTTACATGGCGCTGGGCGGGTCGGAGCTAGCCTATTAAGGGTGTTGGCAGAGAAGCGCACAGCTTTGAGCAGTTTTTTGGGGCCTAGAAGTGCATAGGATGGCACCCGAGTAGTTCTTTGAAATTCCAGATGGAACGAACCCAGACTGCAGCTCACTTACTGCAGTGCAATACGATACCCATCGCGTACACACTGGTCCGACCACGCCGCAGCGGACCAACTCGCAGCCTTGTGAAATTGAAGAATGACTGCGGGCCGTCAGTGATTCGAACTGTGTATGCAGACCATAATAGTCACGGCAGAGGACGAAGAATGGTCGGAAGTGCTCAGCTCGGTAGAGTGGGGCTGTCGCACACAGCATGGAGATCCGGCCTGTACCGCAGCTGTTCCACGTCCAGAGGGGAATGAAATCCCGCATTCCAGGTTAGCCTGTATACGATGCTGACGGGAGAATACGGAGCCGTGAGCAAGGCAGAGAGAACCTCGGCCAGGTCGAGGTGGGCTCACTATGGCCATTCGCCAGCGTCTTCAGTGCACTGTCACAGTTAGCTGAGATGACGATCCCGCGCTGTGCTGCTTCTACGGTGTATGCCACTCCGTAGTTAATCTGGCCGATCAGTGGGGCAGTAGACCACAGGAACTCAAAATTGTTCCTGGTATATGGCAGAAGCAGAGTCGGGGGCTGTGCTAGATCAACATACTGACCTTATATAGACCCGATTATGAACCGCTGAACTTTCTCCCCGTGGTGCTGTCAATGCGTTGAAACGTTGACCGCTCATAGTATGATCGAAAAGTCCTACAGATCGGCTGTAATGTGGCTCTGTCAGTGTGGCTGTACCGGCACTGAGTCACTAAAGCGACATCTTCTTCCGCCGGACCACTATATCCAAGAACGCACCGCGCCCGCAGTGTACAAGTCAGTTGGCGTTCACACACGAGTGTGTGTCATTGAGGACGCACTGACGACGTTGGGGATGGAAGGACGACACGATGACTCGCCTCTGGTGTGAGCGGAACAGTGGGGCCACCGCAGCACCGACATACCCCATTGTTCACAAAGATCCGCGATGCTCGTCCTTGGGAGAGGACAGGACCCTGCAAAATGCATGACATCAACACCGCCCCATACAAACGAATGAACGAGCTCGGAATGTACTCGGGACGAATGAGCGTTCGTCGATGTCTGTTCAGAATGCTCTGTGAGCGAATCAAGCAATACATGAACATTGAAATAAAAAGCAAACCAAGTAACCTAACCTCTACACGGATGGAAGTGTAAAATACAGAGAAAGTTCAGCTGCTACGATACAGGTTTCGCATGCGAGTCGTCATTACGAGTTCCTGGTGGTATCTGGAAGGGGCGTGTGTAGATGATTAACATAATATACAAGTAGGGTTTAACGAAAGGCCATAGCCGAGGTATAGGACAATGAAGAGACAAGGCCACACATCATGGGCCCGTCTCGTCGATTTGAACGCATTTACATCAAACGCTTCTCGATCCAGCTGAGGGCCTTCTCTTTTCTGCCAGCGGCGGCGGCGGTACGCGACCGCTCGGGGTCAGGTGTAGTAGATCTTGCGCGTGCGACTTCGGGTTTGCGCTCCTTGCTGACGACGTCGAGGTAGTTCGGGGGTGTCTCCGCCTCATGAATGACGACCTGTGGCTCGACGATCACGTCTATGATCTCGTAGCGCACGAGGGTGGTTGTCACTTCTTTCCACGCCATGGGGGAGATCTGCACGCTTTGTATGCCGGTTGGCGCGTTCACGGTCACGTAAAACGAGATGCAGGAGTCGTCGACGTCGCGCAGATCTTCGCGGAAGAGGACCTTGGCAAACTCAACGGCTTTCTGCGTGCGCCACTGCTCAGCGGATGCTAGAGACCGTAAAGACAAGACGCACCTCATATGATGGTGCAGCCGTCACGTATACCATCTTCCCCCGGAAGCGATAGGTAACAAGATTCGCAGTGGAGCGATTGTTGGGGTGGTGGCCTGCCGCTGGTGTTCTGCGGGTGGTCTCAAGTCTGCCCATTATCAAGTATGCTGTGTAGCGGTAGAGTGCGGAGGGCTAGGATGTGGATGACGGGATAGCTAGATGTTGGTCCTTTTATATTACAGAAAGGAGGTGGCAAAGCAATCGGCAAGGCCTCAGGCGCGATGAGGCACAGCAACCGTCTAAAAGCGTCAAGCGTTCTTTCACAAGGAAGCGGTCGTTGGGCCGTTCTGCTCCGAAGTGGCGGTAACCGTCGAAAGGTAGACGTATTGTATATCCATGTTGCCCCTGGAAAACAAAGCATATCCAGTGTATATTGCGATGCATATCTGGATGGCACAGTGGTGGGAAGCGAGACAGCATAGCTCCAGCACCGTTCGAAAGGATTGATGTTGCGCAAGGTGGGAGAGAAACAAGCGCCCATCGTCCGGAGCGCTCGCTTCAAGCCTGTACAAGCAGTGCCCCCTTGTCGGACATTCGCACTCAACTTTCGCTCGAACCGCTAGCCCCGTCACCAGCTCTGAGCGCTGAGCGCTGAGCGTCGGGTCTAAATTTCTTGTTATACCAATGTCAGGAGACTCCAGGTCGGCAAGCTATGACCGGATGTCCTGTCAGTCCTACTTGTTATATAGACAATTGCCATACGCCTTTTTGGAGAGCGTAGCAAATGTCTGATTGAGCGTACACAAGAGCCCAGTCTTGCGGCAATCATTCATGACTCCTATATAGTAAGACCCCTGTGAGTCATCAAACGCAGGGGACTATTGTATATATTGTGGGTGCACCGCTATCATCATCCGCCGCCAACCCCCCTATACTGACAACATTCCTAATATCACTGCTTCGTGTTCCCCACGCTGGCGATGACTTACGTCTCAGCGCACGCCTGGAACTCAATCGCATGCCGTATTCGAAGCATACACGTGCCGGTATTATTCGTCGCCCGTATGTACTGGCTGGGTTGAAGTCATCACCCTTTCCGGCTGCGGCACATGTGGCGCATGCCTTCGACTAGTACAATTGTCACTGACAAAACCGAAAGACAACAACCTGTCGCTACGTGGTATATAGATATCTTGTCTGGTCATTTCGAGTCACATGGCTGACTTCGCATCATTTGCACGTTGTTTTCATCAACTTCTCTAGACAAGAATGGGACAGGACGTCCCTTCGCAGTCGAACGCATGTAGGGCACATGTTCGATGCTCTAGAACCGGGTTAGCGCTTTTCATTTGAGCATTTATGAATGCTTCGGCGAGCGGCGACTCTATAGCCCTCTCCACATTGTAGGCCCTCCAGACGTTATCACAGACATGGGAAAAAACAACAGCAACAACAACAATAAGAACGCAAATCCGCCGAAACCGCAGGCGGTCACCCAATCGACAGCAAAAGTGCCCAAGCAGCAGCCGACGCCCGAGTCCACGCCGCCCTCCGATGTGCGCGATGGAGACTCGCCGCCGACAATGTTGGCGACCCCTATATCGCCTACCAGCGACCCCGCCAATGCGACGGAAATGAAGGCACAGAGTGCCACGGGGGTTTCCGCGCCCAATATGCACGTTATACATGAACTTCTCCACGCCTTCAAGGCGACCTTGGGAACACTGGGGTCGACAATCGATATCCTCGGTGAACAACCAGAGAGACTCTCCGAGGTCTCCCAGGCCATCGACGCCGAACATCAGGTGTGTGTGATCATTGTCCGATCGCAGATCACACACTCATCATGAGCGGTGCAGATTCGGGTTGTTCGAGAGCAGGTTGAGCAGCAGCATGGCGCGCAAGAGGAGGAGATGCAAAAGGTGAAGAAATTCGTCAGCGACGAAGTCAAGGCGCAGGTGCGCGACGCCCTCAGGGCTCAAGTCAACAGGATAGTCAGCGGTATCGTGCAAAAGGAGATAACGAAACGGATACAAGCCCAGGTAAGTGGCTCATTCGCACTTGAGATGTTTGGAGTGTGGTTCATTCAGGTCGCATATAGCTTGCGGTCCAGATCCCCTCCAAGCTCCGAGAAGACGCCAGGGAGTTTAAGCAGAAACTCCTTGAGGCCAAGATTAACCTCCACAATTCGTAAGCACCAGTGGTCCCTTCCAGCGTCAACAGTTTGATCTGACATGGTCTCGCCTTCGCTTTCTACAGGGAGGCCCGAAGAATGAATGCCCTGGTTCCCTCAACTGCCCTCGACGAACCTCTGGGTAAGCTCTTGAGGCCATCGAGCGCGTCGAGCCGAGGCATGCAAGGCGCTGCGCAAGGCAGTGACTTCGTCGGGGCCGTGGGCGGCTCAGTTATAGACCTGCCAACGCCTTCGCCGCTGTTCCCTGCCAACGCAAGCGCGTTGATAAACCTCAAGCACGACGACCTGCGCAGGCTCTTGCATGAGTACCAGCTGACCGAGGCGCGACCAATTGCGCAAGGCAAGCCGAGTCCGGGTCTCCTCAGACAAGATCTGAAGGAGCAAGACATAAACACATTTTTGTCTTTCATTGGGGTGGGGCCTGACTTGTAGCGCGTATCCGAATTATCTTACCAATGACCTATGGACAGATCACGTTTTCAATTCTTGCTTCAGCACCGGTCGCCGGGAAACACTCGAACCCCCCCAGCCCCTTGCTCACGAGGGTTTCTAATCCGTACATGTGATGATTGCGGCGGGCCGTGCGAACCGTTGTATTATGCGGAATGTAATTGTACTACATCCTTAACACTCCTCATCGTTATCGTATTCATTCTCGGACTCGTAAAGGCGCTGAGATTTACATACACTCTATGCGTACAATAATGTTAGCCCGTCTCGTCAGCGTTTGAACACGTCGTGTTATGACTACACGATTTATGGCCCAAGAAGGGTGCTTCGTCGCCGTCGGGCTTTCTCGAGAGGAAGAAGGCTCGTTACTTCAGAACGCGGCGTTTGCGTGTCGCTGGCACCTATACCATTCTCAGCGACCTGGCTATGAACAGGCAGGTTCATCTCACCAGGCTCGTCGGGAGGTCTTGATGGGGCCCGTATGCGATCCGCAGCATCCTCATCGCCTCCAGACGAAAGCTGAGGCGAAGATGTAGACGGAACTGGCCCGGCTACTTGCAGTGGTTTTGGAAGCATGGACCGTCGGCGCTGCTAACCCGTCTCAACATCGTACACAATCGGGCTTGTTAGCGGGACGGACCTTGTTCACACCGGCGACGTTCTCCTCATCAAGATTGATCAGAAAACGGGTCTCGTCGACATGCATCCTCTGCTCGGCGCATTCTACAACCCACGCAATACCGACAACGAGGGGCCGCCGTTCCTTGAGAAGCCTGTGCCATCGTCAACAGGCGCCTGCATGGTGCTCATGCCTCGACGAACCTGTATCGCGTGAGCGTACTCATGAGCCCGTTCTTGTACACGATGTGTGTGCACGTCTGGCCAACGCGAGCCAGTATCTGCGGTCGCCATGTCAGAGACCACCCTGAGAAACAGGTCCACAGGACATACCCTTGCGCCCATGCCCCTTAGCATGTCGACAAACAGACCGCCAGCGTCGTCGCCGTCGTCCGTGCGCACATCCACGAAGATCGTGCACTCCTTCAGCACGTCCAGCTGGCCGGGAACGCCCGCTGTGCTGTCTTGCGGGGATTCAGGGGCCATGCTCGCTGCGCGCCGCCCGGACACCCGCGCGCCGATGCTAGTTGTCCGCGTTGGCACAGGGGCAGTACGCGCGAGATGGCTCGTACTCGTCGTGCGCAGTACATGACTGTGTCCGGGTGCGGTCGCGGGGGCGGGGACAGATGGCTGTGCGTCAGGTGTCTGAGGGTGCGGCGTGAGCAACTGCGAAAGCAGATGTGACGCTAGAGATGCCCGCCGCGAGTCGTCCCGCGATCGGAGTGGCTGCTCGCTTCCTGGTGGTGCATTGGGGCCTCCTGGCCCTGCTTCAAATTCAATAACAGTCAATGTATTGTGCTCGTCACTTGAGCTGGGGCCGGCCATCGCCTCGTCCTCCTCGTGGACAGCGGCCTGGCTTGTCGACGGAGCCGACCCTCCTTTCACAGGGCTGCCCTCGACGCTCGGCAGGCTCGTCTTCTTGCTCGCCTTGTGCGTCACGCGACTCCCGCCAAATGCACTCCCGTGGAATGCACCCACCGAGAACATCCGCCTGTGCGATGCTTGTGCGCTCGTCGCATTAATGCCGAACGCGAGGCCCTTGGGCTTGCCGGCAGTCCCAGATGGCGCAGGTGGCGGGAGCATCAGGGTGGACTGTCGTGTGCCCGAGAGCATTCTCGACAGATTGCCTACCGTGGCTGCCTTCTGTAGCGTAGGAGTGCGCAGTGTTTCCTGCACAGCACCAGCGGCAGACAGAATGTCCCCGTCATCACGGCTACGCGCGCCCATGTCCGCAGGCACTGATGCTTCGCGATTGAACCCCATGCTCGTGCTCGATCGTGAGGGGGGCGGCATGTTCAGTCGCTGTAGCGCACTCGAGAGCGACGACAACGATGAGTTGAGTGACGACGTGCGTTCGGTTTTGGGTGCAGGCGGGAGTGGCGCGATGCGCATCTTGTGCGGCGACGGCGCATTTGCCTTCGCGCTGGAACTGGCAGTGGGCCGCGCAAATGAGAAGAGAGTCGTTTGCGTGCGTTGAGCGCTCGGAAGGGTATTTGAGGATGTCGAGGTGGTCGCAGCGGGCGTCGAACTTGAGTTTGAAGACACGGTATTGCTAATCACACGAGAGGGTGTTCCTGGTGAGCTCAAAGTAACAGTCAGTAGATGACCATAGCAAGCCGGACAGACTGAACGCACCGACATTCCTCAGATGCACGGCCAGTGACGTCTGCGACATAGTCTTCGATGACACCGAGCGCGTGATGCGCTGACTAACTGCAGGAGGCGGGGCACGCTTCTTGCCTTTTGCTGCGGTCGTCTTCTTCGTGGACTCTTCTACTGCCGATGACAGAGCGAGTTTCGTGGTCAGGCGGGGCAGGCGGCTGACGGCTTTTTGTGCATATTTCTGTGGAGAGGACGCGGCGGCGATGGCAGACTCACCGTTCGATGGCGGCACATCGTGATTGGGGACCCGTGCGACCGCGGGCTGGTCCGCGCTGCTGGTGTGCTGCAGCGGCGCACCAGGGGTGACAGGAACTGGTGTCAGGGGTGACATTGAGAGCAGAGCAGATTCCACAGAGGTTCTAGCAGGAGTGATAGGTCCTGCAGTCGTCGTGATGGGGTCGTGGTAGTCTTCACTGTCGATGCGTAGACAGACAGTAGGCCTTGTCGGCGAACGCGGTACTTGGCTCAAGTCGATGTGTGGCATTGGGGAAAAGACAGGGACGGACTGCGAACGTTTGAAGACTGAGGGTGCATGAACGCGACGCGGCGAGGGGGAGAGAGGCCGCGGGAGTGGAAACCGATTCTCAACACGCTCGCCATCGTGTCTAGGCTTCTTGAGATTGCGTTCTGTGCGTGCGGGGGGCTCTTTGAGGGGGGAGGGTGGCCGCTTGCTGTGTTTCGGCTCACTGTCGTTGCGGCCCTCGGGAAGATGGTGGTGGACATTGTTGGGTGAAGCAGCGTGAGATGTAGCTTGATTGGTGCGTAAAGCTAGTCTGGCATCTTTGAGAGGAGATCTTCCGAGCTGCACAAGTCCATCATCAGGAAGCGCTAACTGCGAGCGAGTCCGTTTTGCATGCATTGAACTGGGTTGAAAGTGGCTGAGGACTGAAACAAGGCGACGCGTGCTGGCGTCTGCAGACGCGTTTAACACGTGACAGAGAATCCGTTCAACAGTTCCGAATCACTGGTAGTGTAAGGCGAACAAATCAGCGTAAATTACCCCATACTTTTCTACAGGTAATTTACAATTTATTACAAGGGTGTCCATTGAGAGGTGTAAGTGATGTAAATAAGGGTGTGTCAGGTGTTGGACCCACCCAGGGGAGCCACCACTTGTGCTGACAACCTTTTGTGCCTCTTGCACCAGCTTCTGGGCAGAGCCAATACGCAGCTTCTCAGACCTTCATTTTTGTATTAACCCATTCATAAATTTTAATGGACTGTTTTTACTCCTGCTATTCATAATTCATATTAACCAATGTCTTGAATATTCCCATGGTGTCACAAGTTGACATGGCATCTAGCCATTTGTAACGGGCAGATCGTGTCGAGGGCCATTACGACAAGTTGAGGTCAAGGTGCAAGGACGAGCGAGAGTGAGCAAGCAGGCAAGAGGATCGCAAACAACAGAGGGTGGGATGCCCGGATACTGGTGTTGGCAAGACAAGGGGAACACAAGTGAGAGGGCATGAGTCTAAGTAATACGGGATAGACTGGGATGAGTCATCAAGTTCCTGGTGAGTATCTAAAATGTCCGTTGTAGCTAGATTGACCATTGTTATCTAATCAGTCAAGTCTGTAGCACATTGTATTGTGTCGGTAAGTGTCCATTGGAACATAGCCGTTACACCATCTTCTCCTCAGGGAGCATGCTTGCGCGGTTCTAGAGTGAAGGGTCATACCTGTAGGGATTTACATGCATGCGCCGGTCTCACATCATAACCTCTACACCAAAAAGGTGCAATGTCAAGCTTGGCTTGACATCTGACCAGAGGTATATATGCTAATTGTTGCGACTTGAGGTCAAGCGACAGGGGAGGATCTGAAAGCAGGGGGCGTTCAACTGGTTCTCACCAAAGCGATGGTGAGCAATGCTCAAACCTAAGGCTAGGGACAAGAAATGTATTAGTTAGTTAAGTAAGAAAGAGAATACATGAGAGGCTTACTGACCTAGGGACAAGAGGTCGAAACTGAGATCCCTAGGGCAGCAGAGGCTGGTGATAGGCGTCAAGCCCCTCTGGGCCCCGATACACCTCTTTTTGGCAGTCGCATCCTGCCCGGCACTTCGACTCAGTCACCCAACACTTCGATTTCGCCTGTCACGACTTGGTATGGCGTCTAGCTGTTTTTTAATTTTTTCCTTTTCGCGGGCTCGAACCCATGACCTCTGTACTACATACCCGATATGGACGCATCACTATCTACTGTACAATTAGATTAGATGGGACGGCAGTGCACGGCATAGCTCGGGCTCCGCTGACACAGCCTCTCTGACTCACCGGCCCCCGGGGCCGCGTCAGCATGCTGCGCACGGACCAGCTGCGCACGGACCAGCTGCGCACGGACCAGCTGTGCACGGACCAGCTGCGCACGGACCAGCGCGCACAGCCTGCCCTTATCTCCCCATGTATATAAGCCGGCCTCTGCTGCCCTAGGGACCTCAGTTTCGACCTCTTGTCCCTAGGTCAGTAAGCATCCTTTGTATTCCTTTTCTTACCTCACTAATATATTATCTTGTCCCTAGCCTTAGGTTCGAGCTTTGCTCACCATCGCTTCGGTAAGACCCAGTCGAACGCCCCCAGCATCTTCCAAAGTCTGTGTTTCCATTGTCGCTTGACCCTAAGTTGTGACATCGCCTTTGACGCTCTTCAACATCTTCAACGGTGCGCAATGCTTGCTCAAAGCTCGGCACGGTCGTCCTGATGCCTCGTGCGTAGATCTTGGGACATCTCCCGCATTTGGCAGACAATAGGGCCACTTGACACTGTTCGTCCAAGCGCGCGCATCGCTTCATGCCACACCGACGTAGCTGGTCTTTCCCAATTAGGTATCAAACCTCGTGGTATGCCTTCAACGACGGATACTGGTCCGAAGTGTCTCGCATGTTTCTCTTCATTTCTGTGTTCGGCATGACATCACTCTACCGATGGACTTGATACGTGCCACTCGGTGAGGCAGATTCGTGCAGGACAATGCAAAGCCCCTTGTACTAGTGTGCCACTCTCAATAGTCGTAGCGTCCTATGCGTGGAATAAAATCTGTTGTACTTCTCTCCAAAAATACAAGATCCGGTCCCCCCCTCGAGTTCGGAGCTTATAAGTTGAGTTTGCCCTGCGTCTAAGCCCTCAACTGCATCAATTTGTTCTTCGCTGCATAACCTCGAAACCTCGTATACTGCGTTTACTCGTCAATATCGTCTCGACAAACCTTTCGACTTCAGCTATTGTCGAAGAACTGCGAACTGCGCCCTAGCTAAGTCCAATCTATCGAATCGTGTCTTTTCCCTCTACAATACATCGAAGAGCTCTGCCGAGCTTTGATTGTCTCCGCTAACTACCCACAGCCTTCGAGTAGCTTCGACGACGTGTCGAGCCACCTCGAACCGTACCTAGCATTTGTAGCCTTTCCCAAAGGCATTTTTTGTGTTCACCCGAACCGCGGGACACCTTGCTGCTAACTCCCCTCTCACTAAGACAATAACCTGCCTCTAGTTCACCTAGGTCGTACCCAGGTTAAGGGTTAGGGTTTTGTAGATCGCATCACCGGCTTATATACAGGAGAGGTTTAGGGGAGGCTGTGCGCACTGGTCCGTACACAGCTGGTCTGTGCGCAGCATGCTGACGCGGCCCTAGGGCCGGTGAGTCAGAGCAGCTGTGTCAGCGGAGCCCGAGCTGTGCCGCACACTGCTGTCCTATCTAATCCAATCGTACAGTAGATAACGACTTGTCCGTTCAAGTGTATAGTACAGAGGTCACGGGTTCGAGCCCACAAAAAGGAAAAAATTAAAAAACGGCTAGACGCCGTACCAACTTGTGACATTACCCCCCCCTCAACAGTGCATGACCTCATGCGAGGTGCCCTTGCCCATCTCCCACCCAGAGCGGCAGCGTGCTTCAGTCAGCGGCAAAGGCATTGGCTGAAAGTTGAGACCATCAAAGACAGCAGCATTGAGGCGGAGAGGGGTGTTCAGATTCTTCCAGTGGAAGTCGGCTATAAGGGCCGGCGCATTGGCAACGTTGCGCGCCATGACGTATGCGAGTTGTCATAACCCTTCCACTTGATGAGGTACTGCAGTTGATGCTGGAAGATCCTTGAATCTTTGATCTGCTCAATCTCGTACTCCTCGTTGCCCTCAACCTCGATCGCAGGCGGCTCCTCTGGCTCCCGGCCCGGGATCTCGCTATGCATGTACTTGCTCAGCAAGGAGACATGGAATACCGGATGCACCGGCACCAATTTCGGCAGAACTAATTTGTAATCCAAATCTCCGAGCTTTTACCGCACAGCATATGGTCCAAGGTGCTTGGAACTGAGCTTCTTGCTCGGCTGTTTCAGCTTAAGGTTCTGGGTATCAAGCCAGACCTTGTCCCCTGGCACGAAGACTGGTGCCTTTTGCACATGTCTATCGTAGTACACCTTCATGCGCTCGGCTGACAGCTCAAGCGCAGAGCACATGTCGTCGCAAATCTCCTTCAAGATCTTGAGCCGATCAGTGGCCGTGTCACGAGTTGGTACGGCATCTAGCCGTTTTTTTATTTTTTCCCTTTCGTGGGCTTGAACCCACGACCTCTGTACTACATGCCTGATATGGACGCATCATATCTACTGTACAATTAGATTAGATGGGCGGCAGTGCATGGCACAGCTCGGGCTCCACTGACACAGTCTCTCTGACTCACCGGCCCTAGGGCCGCATCAGCATGCTGCGCACGGACCAGCTGTGCATGGACCAGCGCGCACAGCCTCTCCTAAACCTCCCCTGTATATAAGCCGGCCTCTGCTGCCCTAGGGACCTCAGTTTTGACCTCTTGTCCCTAGGTCAGTAAGCATCCTTTGTATTCTTTTTCTTACCTCACTAATATATTATCTTGTCCCTAGCCTTAGGTTTGAGCCTAGCTCACCATCGCTTTGGTAAGATAAGTCGAACGCCCCCAGCATTTGGTTTTCCCCTGTCGCTCGACCCTAAGTCGCGACATTAGGTCGAAACTCCCCAACGCTGCCGGCGTTCCAAAACAAACACTCACTCTTCCTCTTCCATAGGTCGGGTGGTGCGCACCCTTACTATACCCTACAATACGTAGATAGCCTACAATACATCGCCACCACTTAAGGGACAAACTCTTCAGTATCTGCACTTCAGTGGGCGATACTTGTCCTCACGGATGCGTGGCTTAGGTTCCTACTGCATACTAGCCAAAAGCAGTACTGGGCCCCACATGAACTGCGAACCTTAGTGTCTTCTCGGGCACCGTAGGTGTAAGCTAGCTAACACGGCCTTTTGTAGCACGCGCACCCCCCCTTCCTTCCCCCATCACTGTGGCTGACAAATTCTTCGACTGCTCTCGACTTGAGCACGCCTTCGACACCCAGGAGCAGGTCAACGTCTCTCACGACAACCCAGAAAGCAACGGAAACCTAGCCCCTTTCTTCATCTGTGATTGGCAACCGTGCCCTAATTGCACTCCACGGTCCATCACTACCAATGAAGGGCACTACATGCCAATCCGACGAGTCCAGCACCCCAGCGGCCCTGCACTCCGGTATGCTGGCACTTCGAGATCCACATCTCGCCACGTCACTCCTGCCCTGTCTCGACCCGCCTCCCCAGGCACCCACATCCCCCAACCTGTCACCAGTACAAGTCAAGCACGAGGAGATCCCCATCTTCCTTGAGGAACTGAGGCAGTCGCACAGCCTACAATGACCCCTCAAGCGATCCCCCAGCCCTCCTTGGGACCGCAGTTGGAAAGGCCTCCCAAGACCGAGCCCCGCGACACTCCACCGCATTCTTGGGCCGGCTCATCATCAGCAGTCACCGCCTCGACTTCAGTCCCTGTCCTACATCACCCCGCCTCCGGGCTTCCTCAATCGTCTTCACTGCCGTCACCGCCGCGAGGCCGCTTGAGCACTCGTTCCTCACAAAGTTCGCCCGGTGGACAGTCACAACAGTTGTCACGACTTGGTACGGCGCCTAGCCGTTTTTTAATTTTTTCCCTTTCGCGGGCTCGAACCCGCGACCTCTGTACTACCTGCCTGATATGGACACGTCGTTATCTACTGTACGATTAGATTAGATGGGACGGCAGTGCACGGCACAGCTCGGGCCCCGCTGACGCAGCCGCTCTGACTCACCGGCCCCCGGGGCCGCGTCGGCATGCTGCGCACGGACCAGCTGCGCACAGACCAACGCGCACAGCCTGCCCTAAATCTTCCCATGTATATAAACCAGCCTCTGCTGCCCTAGGGACCTCAGTTTTGACCTCTTGTCCCTAGGTCAGTAAGCTCTCCTGTACTTACTTCTTTTACTTACTAACTAATACATTCTTGCCCCTAGCCTTAGGTTTGAGCATAGCTCACCATCGCTTCGGTGAGACTTAGTCGGACGCCCCCAGCCTTCAAGTTTTCTCTAGTCACTTGACCTCAAGTCGCGACATTAGGTCGAAACTCCCCAAGCTGCCGGCGTCCCCTCGGGACCCCTTACACTCACTTCCCTTTCCCACAGGTCGGGTGGTGCGCACCCCTACGATACCCTACGATACATACGATACGTAGATAGCGTACATACACCGCCACCACTCAGGGAACGAACTCTTCAGTACCTGCACTTCAGTGGGCGGTACTTGTCCTCACGGACGCGTGGACTAGGTTCCTGCTGCATAATAGTCAAAAGCAGTACTGGGCCCCACGTGAACTGCGAACCCTAGTGTCTTCTTGGGCGCCGTAGCGTAAGCTAGCATAGCACGGCCATTGTAGTACGCGCACCTCCCCGTCCTTCCCCCTTCCATCATGGCTGCCTGCCAAGGCCAGATCCACGCATTCGACTCCCAGGACCTCATCGACGTCTACATCCCAGACGGTCCTGAAACTGTCCTCTATCGTTGCGAGCAGCAGCCGTGCCCGAATCGGACACCCCGATCGATCGAGGAAGACTACCCTCGCTACAAGGCCATCAGACGGGCTCAACACCCGCTCGGACCCCGAAGCACCCTCGCATCTCGATCCGCCTCACAGCACTCTCGCCCTGTCTCCCCTACCTCCCGCCTTCCCCAAACTGTCGCCGAGTCCAGTCAA